GTCGCTTCCCGTCAAGAAGACTACCGTACACATCAATTTGACTGAGTGTTTTGTTTCTTGAAATCGATGTTTGCGTTTATCCCTCTCTTTGTTGACTTTTTCGTTATCTGACATTCTGGCACCACATGATTCAAATATAGATTCTAACGCATAAAAGTCTATTGACTATTTTGCGTGTTGTATATGCCACTATGGTTTAGATCAGGCAAGATTTTATCAGTTGACGGTATTTGGTTTAATGTCCCACTAATGCGATCGCACTTCATACCGCACAACTTCTTTGCTACTGCGAGAAAGCTAATTTATGCAGCCTGCTCGATTCAGGCAGGCAGATTTCTTATTGGTTGAAATTAACAATGCCAAGTCCACGAGTCCTCCAGCCGTGAGTTCGGGGAAGGAGCGCGGGCTCCTTTCCCGAACAGCGGCTGGTAATCGAGCTTAAGTGCTGTTTGGAGTTTTCGGAATTTGAGTACTAGCAACTGTTGTTTAAGACAATTCAGAGGTTTGTATTGATGCTAGTGGTGTAAGTTTTCAATAATTATTTACGGTTGTTATGGTTCTCGGACGCACCAGCCGCTGTTTAGGAACTTGGAGCCCGCGCTAGTAGCGCGGACAGATCAGAGTGGCTTTCTTAGTATTATTTCTTTGAGTGCACCCTAAAAGATACTTTGACAGCTTCAAATAATGGCGTTTCATCATGAACACCCTAAGTAAATCAGAATCCTTTAGCTGATTAGTCTGCAGTTCCCTCTCGGTAGCTGGGGAGAAAACAGGGCGAGCGACCGTGAACCTGCAGGAACCGATTTACACTGGTCTGTATTAAAGCGAGACGATGAGTATCGCTGTCCTGTTTATATGGGTGTTTCACTCATGCTTGCTTGCGGTTAGCTTTCATTTGGTGGAAAGGACAGCGTTTAATATTGTATTTAGACCCTTTCCAACAAATAATTTTAATTTAGCTAACCGCAAGCAAACATGAATGAAACTAACAAGAAAACAGTGCATTTAACTGTTCAGGAAAATACCCCTGGCATAGTCAACTGAACCAATCGAAATGAAAGTTTCAGAAAAGTTTCAGATGATGTATATACATTTTACTAAGATCTGAGTTACCATGGCAACATAATGATGTCATATCCCATTTTACATTATACTGAATACCTTATCATTAAGGGAGAACCTTGGAAATACGACATTGATCAGAAACTTTGACCTGACAAAGCTGTCTTGAGGAATATGGCAACATGGTTTCAAAAACTCTTAGAGCGTTTTGAGAAAACTGCAGGTGAAGTTTCAAGGTGTCAAAATATATCAAAGACAAGTGTTTTTAAGTGTTACTTAAAACATTGCCCAAAATTATTGACTAATGGTACTTTGGTCTTAAATGAATCTTACAACCTTTAATTACCTTAAGTGAAAGAAATCTCAGAGAAATTAACTCTGAATGATTGTGTTGTTCCAGAGAATGTCCATACCCCTCCCACAGAAGGTTTTTTAGCTTGAACCCCCCCACCCCCGCGGAAATGCCATTACACACATATAAAGTGGGGGCTCTTTAAAAAATTGGGCTTTTGAAACCCCCGTCACCCTTGGAATTTCCAATAACCTTCCTTGGGGTGGGTAAGGATATTTTCTGGAAATGCACATTTTCAGAAACATTGGTTTGAATATCAACTGGTTTCGGTTGTTACTTTCATGCTTTTTCAATAAACAAACTGATCCTACAATTATAAGCTTGGTCAGGAATTAATGAAACACGTGTTACTGCTATCTGATGAGATCAATCAACGTTCAATGCAATCACTGAGTTTCAAATTTATTGAAAAATACTAAGACTGCTAATTTTCAGCTGCAACTCAGGAAAATGTCGTGTCTTATTTTCTCGCTTGTGTTCTCTTGTCCTCGTTATGATTTTCTATATTTTCTTGAATTACAATGCCATTCTTCATTTCTGAATATCATGAATTCATAAAGTATTTGATTTGCTTTTTGACAATTTTCCAGGAGCCTGCTAAAATCTGGGGCTCGAACCCGGACCCGCTCGCTCCGGAATCAAGCGCACTAACCATGAGGCCACCATGCCTCCACACTGGCCGGGGACATTGTGTTGTGTTCTTGGGCAAGGCACTTAACTCTCACAGTGCCTCTCTCCACCCAGGAGTATAAATGGGTACAGGTGAATTGTTGGGGAAACCTAACAAATTGCAGGGGAGTGACCTGCGATGGACTAGCATCCTGTCCAGGGGGAGTAGAAATACTCCTAGCCGCTTTATGCTACAGAAACTGAGATAAGCTCTGGCAGCTATGAGCCAGTCAGCTCCAAGACCTCACTTATGCTAAAATCTGCCAAGCTAGCATTACAATTACAGTGAATTATTTATTCACACTTTCACTCATCTTGTGCTAACCCGGCCATGCTGAGGGTAGGCAGTAAGCACAAGCAGAAAAATTGCTGTGCTTAACTTAAAGAGGACAAAGAGGGCATCCAGTAGAGTGATTTTCTGCTTATCAAAATGCTTACTGCTTTAACCTCAGTATGGTCACATCACTGCTATCTGATTACAACTCAGTTCTTGGTAAAATGTACATATACTTCATTTGAAACTTCCATTCTTTAGTACACCAGTACATGTAATGTTTGATTTTCTTTTGATTTGACTTTGTGATTCTGCTCTTGGTAAAATGTACTTCATCTGAAACTTCCATTCTTTAGTATACCAGTAATGTTTGATTTTCTTTTTAATTGATTTTTGTGATCGATCTGCTCTTAAGTGGCTCAAAGTAAAATTAAAGAATCTGATCAAGGCTACCTTTAGGGATTGCACTGTGTAAAAAAAAAAATTGAGTAAGACATGGCTTATTGGAAAAAAAGAGCTATATGCTTGTCCAAAAGGGACAAAATATCAAGATTTATGTATTTAACAGGGAACATAATCTGATCTTAGTCTGGCCTGTAGAGCTATTTTTTAACTTGAAATTGGTAAAGGTAATGATTAACTCTGTTGCAGGATATGTAATGCTGACATTTTCAGCATTAGCCCTTTTCAACCCTTTTCTAGAGCTTCAAAGCTCTTTGCTCTGACAAAGGGCTCATGCTCAAAACATCAATTTGGCATACTCATTACAGTCTAGTGAAGTCACCTTTATGAACTTTAATAAACAGGTAAGTGTTTCACTTGCCTACTGATGCAGCCCTGCAGTTTCTTTAGAAAAGAACAACTTTGTTCATTAGCCTGATCTGTGACCAATGTGAGTTATTTCATCACCCACCAAAGATAAGATCTATTACTCAGACAATTAGTTAGAGATGAAATTTAATATGGTTATGTACAAACATTATGATAAATCATTTCCTCTTCAGACTATAATTTGATACATCTTGTTTCTAATACAACGGGAGAAGTTTTGATAATTAAGTTGGCTGAAGGAGACAAGAAAAGATGGTTAGGTGATGAACTGAATCAAATTGGATCATGTGTACTAAAGGAACCTGCGGTCAAGTGTCCATCGATACTCTTGATCGATACCCTTAATCGACATGTCAATTGATACTTAATCGCATCTCGATTGATACTCGGTCGACACTCGATCAACACTTGAGTCTTGCTCAACAGCTGGTCGATAGCTGGCCGAGTGTCCAACTCATAATTATTGCATCAATTGAAAATTAGTCAACTCCCAACCAACTGTCGACCGAGATGTCGATCGAGTGTCGATGGAGTGTCAATGGAGTGTCATTTGAGTGTTGATTGGGTGTTGATCGAGTGTCAATTGAGGGTATCAAGCAAGGGTATCGATCGACACTCGAACACGGATGTCTTTAGTACACATGGTCTGACAAATTTATGAAGTAAAAATGAAAAAATAAAAATGTTATCTGACAAATTTATGATACCTCTTTAATTCCAATTGCAGCTGAATGAGTCGGATTTTTAGAGCCCTGCTTGCATCACATAGGGAAGATGAAGAATGGAAAGCCATCTGTCAAATAAAAGAGGATGGTAACAAAATTGTTGGCCTTGGATGTTTGGTTTATGACCCACAGATAAATAACGCTGAGCTGAGCAAGTACTGTATCATTTCAAGTAGCAAAGTCATTCTACATGAGAATTTACCTGAATATCATATCCTCTTTGAAAGGGTATCAAACTCTGAAAATCCACGTGATATTCTACTGAATGACATTATCAAGAAAGATTTCATTCTTGGTTCTGGGTTGGTCTTGATATTCATCGATGGGGCCACATCCCCACAAGTTCATCATCGTGGAGGCATTTTGCAAAGAGAATGCAGTGTTTTGAAACATGTCCCTGAGATATCCTTGCCTCATGAAGGAAGGGAAAAGTTCTATTTTATTGGAAGACATCGCCACAAATATGATGAAACAAGTGGTATTGATTCTCCTGAGAAAGTAGGATCAGTTGATAATGGTTGTGTTCTTTTTGAAAGAGATCCAGAGAGTAAGAAGTTAAATGTAGTTGGTGTAATCAATTGCTTTAATAGTGGACTGGAGGATATTTCTCCTCTTTGGCTGACATCATCAAGTTTAGAAGAAATCATAGGTGAGTTCTTAGTTGTAGAATGCATGATGACACAAGGAAATTACTAGAGATGATTTACATTTCCAGGCTTTACGGTGTAGTTGTTTTCTAATGATTAGTCTTCAATGTGATTGAGATAAACTTTTGTGAATAGTCCCACACAGGTTCTTTGTAGATGTCAATTCTATATTTAGGTATAACTTGCTGAAACACCCTTAATTTAAGCCTTTACTGCTAAATTGTAACCAAAAATATCCACATAGACCCCAATTTTTTTATTTTTTATTTTGATTAGTGGGATAAGATGCAACAGTTACTTTTGACAAAGTTTAAAAACATTCTGTTCATGGGGTCCAGATTTAAGGGGGCTCTAAAGCTAAAAGTTAATTAAAAGCTAAAATAAAGGGTGTTTTAGCAAGTCATACTGTTGTTATGGTATGAGATGTGTTCACCAATGATAGCAAAGTGTTGACCAAGAATCAAATGATGACATTAGAGCAATGAAATGAAAATATGAGAGCGGTTAAAAGTCTTGGAAAGTGCTGGAAACTTATTTTAAGCCACCTTGACCTGTGTACATATGCCTGTTCTTCTCAAGAAATGCATAATCAGGAAATGCACGATGGTGTTCCTTGCATTGATCAATTATCCAGTAATGCATTAAAACAATTTCAAAGTCACTACATCTTACAGGGGCGGGGGGACATTAGGGGGTTCTGAACAGCACAATATTGTAAAAAATTTCGGCAAAGGCTGCAATACTTCAATACCGAATTGAAACTATTTTTTACCATATCAGAGCTAACCGTCATTGGGAATGTCCAGTCGGAAACTTGAAAAGGCTTGGAAAATGTTGGAGGACTTCAGGGTAATGATTTCCAATTTCGTCCAAAATGCTAAAAAAGTGCAATCCCGCAGGTTCATAGAGTATCGCAATTTAGCGCATAATTTCGAAATTAGAATTATCAAAATATGCAAGAAAAATTGTACAATACAGCTGTAATAACACAAACCCCAATGTCCCCCTCTTAACATGACCCACGGAGACAACAATAATTTGACAGAAAATTGCTCTCTACATGTGATCTTTGCATGAGACAGTTAATGGCCTTTGCTAAGTTTGTAGATAAAAAAGAATTCACCCGCCACAGAATAATAATTTTGTGGCCATAAATTCTCCATTGATTTGACTTTTAAACTTTACAAACTTTTAAACTTTTACAACCATTTCACTTTATCAAACTGCGAACGATGATGAACCAATCAGATCGTATTCCACACATTCCTGGAAAATTGTGAATGTGGCCTGCTTCAACACCATTATAAATGGTTAAACACAGGCATCCCTTGATCTCTCTGGTTTTTCTTTAAGGAGAGTGGGTGAATGAGCCAATCAGCATGCAAGAAATCAGACAGTTATTGTAAAAAATCAAAGGGGCTGGGTGATGCAAATTTAGGCAATTTTAGCAGTGACCAGTGGGTCATAGCATTTACCGAGAAGTGAAATTTTAAAATAATGGCTTTAACTACGGTAAAAGAACTAAAAAGAAGCACAAAAGAGCGAAAAAGAGCATGGATGGGCAAAATTGGAGAAGATTAACACAGATTGCATTTGGGTAAACTTGAAAAACATCATGCAACCATTCATTTTTCAAGCTTATCTCAGTCTGGATGAAAGTGCTTTGACTGCCCAGCAGTTCTTGACTGCTTTCTGCTAACCAAATTGGTATCTTCTCTGTGATATCATTAATATTAATAGTCTTCGTCATCTAATAGAGAACAGTTCATTTTCCAGACACCAGGGTCTTAATGATATAATTTGGTAGAATCATTTAACAAGCTCCAGAGAAATTACAGCATTATCTGTTTTTATGGTTAGAATACATCTGTTGTAGTTTTAGTTAGATCACATAAGGTATTTGAAATCAGCCAGTAATCCAAATGTCAAAAAATCGTTGGAAAATTTTGGCTCCATGTAAAACTTTTTTTTCGGGGTTCTTTCAAGACTCTCCACATATCAACAAGATCAAGCTCTTCTTGTAGATTATTAATTGAGGTTGCAACAGGTTTTCTCGGATTTTTCATCAAAGTTATTTTTTCACAGTGTCGTAAGTAGGTTAACAATATTCCTGTCTTTGTTGGGAGCATAAATATTGATCAAAACATACATTTTACATGTATCTTTATCTCTGCTTTTAGTATATTGACATACTGTTCCAAGGGGTCTAGAATTTTGGAATGGATTGTACAATCAACACCCTTGTTAACAAGGATTGCCACCCCACATGAATTGGAGCTGCCATGGGTCATAATAAACCCACTTCCCCATTCATTTTTCCAACACGTTTCTGAGTCTTTTTGAGTGAGTTTTTTGGAAAAAAAATAAAATATGTTTTCTATTTTTGACACCAAGTAAATTTTGTTTTCCTTTTCTTGAAGTTGCCATTTGGGTAAATTTGAAAAACATCAACCCATCATTTTTCAAGCTTATCTCCATTAGATAAAAGCTTCTTAACAGTTAGGAGTCATCCTTGTTTATTCGGCTTATCTGTGACTGTGATTTTGCCAATAAAAGACTGTTGCTCTGTCAGTTTGAAGTTTAGAGCTTGTAATTAATGAAAATAAACAGAATTACCTGGTATAGTATACACTGACCTGTATCTATCCCTTTTTAAGTTTAAAACTAATTGCTTTGCAGCAAATATCTTGGAGGCTGAACACATATATCTAAATGGAATTGAATGTGTAACTGACATAGTCATGACACTTGCTCTCTTCTTCCCTCTGAAATAGAAATCTTCATAGCTAGCAAACATTGCTTGATAGTATTAACGTGAAACAAACTAAGATAGTTTGTGGGTTGCACTCATATCGATAACCAAGAGAAACAAAGACTGATGGGTCTTCACCAATTAAATAATTATACAGTCTTACAGCAAGTCAGTTAAAGATAAAGGAAGAGGCAGCGTGGCCGAGTGGGTTGAAGCCCCTGACTTGAAATTCAAAGGTCGCAGTTCAAGTCGTGCTCTAACCACTATTAGTAGGATTCTACTAGTATACTAATGCAAATGCTGTAATCTGATTGGCTGAGCCATTGAACACTATCAGCCATTAGTGTGCAGTGGCTGGAGGTTGTCTAGGAAATGACAACGTTTTTTTTTTTTGTTTTATTTTCCTATTAATCTTTTTCACACAGCCCCATAAACTATATCAGCTATAAAATCTACTGTGTTTAGATAAAAGATGTTGTTGTTGTTGTTGTTGTTGTTGTTGTTGTTGTTGTTGGGACAGAACCCTAACCTTGGGAGCATTGTGAAATCAACAGTTTGCTCCATCATATGAGTCAAATGAGCATCTCTGTGGTCATGAAATCTACATTTAACTGTCTCTTAAGTGAAAAAAGCGTCTTTAAGATCGCCTGTTGACCTGAAATCCACATTTTATTTCCGTCTTTTGAAGTGAAGACAAGATTATTGCTTTCAAAACTTGAAGTGAGACAAAGGTTTTTTGCTTTGTTGTGGAGCAGATACTTGTTTTGAGCTTTTTTTCTGGCAATTCAGAGTGAAAAAAGCAAAGTATAACCTAAAATTTGACACAAGGCTGAGATGCATACAGCCCTTCAAATAGGCCATTACATAACTTTAAACTGTCCTCTGATTTTTGAAACCTAACTAGATAATTGCAGCAATACATGTTGATGCTAACAGAATAATTGTTTGCTTAGATTATGAATGCCTTAATTCTTACTTTGCAGAAGAAGACAGGAAGAAGGAGGAGGAAGATAGGAAAAGGAAAGAAGAACAAGACAGGAAGAAAGAGGAGGAAGACAGGAAAAGGAAAGAAGAGCAAGATAGGAAGAAAGAGGAGGAAGATAGGAAGAGGAAAGAAGAGCAAGACAGGAAGAAAGAGGAGGAAGATAGGAAGAGGAAAGAAGAACAAGACAGGAAGAAAGAGGAAGATAGAAAGAAGGAGCAGGAGACAGATGGGCCCCCAGGTAAGTCTTTTGGTCTAAAGTAATTACAAATTCTCTTCAACATTTGTCAGAGTATGCTCTAGCCCTTGTTCTTTTTTAATTCGCAAACTCATATATTTATCAAGGTTAATCAAAGTAGTATAGCGTGCCCCCAAGAGTGCTTAGTGCACCACTTAATTCAAGGTGGCTGCCAATAAAACTTCAAGAAAAAGGTAGAAAACGTGTGAAGTACTATTAAAAGGTTAACCTGCAGAAGTATTCTGGGAAGTGGTATTAGGAAAGAGGCTAAATAGCCTCTAGGGAGAGGATAAAAAGCCTCACAGCAGAAGTCAAATAACCTTGCAGAAGAGACAAAACAAAGATGACTACATGCTTTTTTGTGTGCAAATCTCAAGTTGGATCAAGACGAATTAAATTAATTATAAATTATCTAAATTCTTAAACATTTGTTAAAGAATACTCCCGTTCTTGTTTAATTTGCTAACTCATTTTTCATCAAGGTTAAGCAAAGTTGTATAGCATGTCCCAAAAGGTGCCAAGTGTACCATCTCAACCTGATTTGCCAAAAATGGCATCTAATAAAACATTGGAAAAAAAGTTAGAATTTATGTGTGAAGCACTAATAAAAGGTTCATCATTCAAAAATTTTTACAAGTATTCTGGGAAGTGGGATTGGTGAAGAGGCTGAATAGCCCCTTGGGAGAGGATAAATAGTCTCACAGCAGAGGCTAATTAGCCTTGCAGATCAATCAGAAGAGACAGAACAACTGAATGACTACACACTTTTTTGTTGGCAAATTTCAAGTTGGAGCTATTCATACATATTTTAGGAGTCTACCATTTAGCTTAAAGATTATTTCTATTACACTGTACTCCTATCACTAGATTCAAATTTTTCAAGAAATATTGGGTAGTTTTATACTGATCCCTAAAATGAAGGGCAAGCTGAACCCAAGTGTTGTGTCACAGGGTTTGGAAAAAACAAGAGGGTAGGGTTCTCAACTTTTTGCACTATGTAAGGTTAAGTACGTGTATTATATAGGACTGATATGGCTTTAAATTAAATAGAACAAATAATCAAGTCTTTACTTTAGTTTTGTTAAATTTAGTTTTTCTAGTTTTATTAAATTTTATTTAAGTTTAATTCTATTTATGTCTTCTTCCCTTGTTTCCGAAATTATAACTATGAAGCTGTACCTATGTCAAATTTTCTAGGTCAACAGTCGAGCTTTGTTTGCTAGAGCGCTTAAAGAAATCGAAACCAGANCAAGTCGTTGTTGGGATAAATTTTGGCCACGCAGAATGGCCGATTTATTGATTAAAACTAATATGAAATACAATATAACGAATTATTATTTGTTAAGCTCTTGCAAAGGTGAGGGCACAAGAAAAAAGGCCACAAGCCTCCAGAATGGAGGCCCGCCCCACCCGAAGACTGTTGACCTGAAAAGAGACCGGTGTTTAAGTGAGAAACATGCCACGTCTTATACCGATCGCTGAAAGCGAGGCTGAGTTATTTTTCAGTGAAACCCGTGACTATTACCAATGAATTCGCCATTGTTATCAAAGTCATAAGATTGTCTTGTGATGGTCTTGTGATTATTGCTTGATCAAGTTTGTACTTGGTGATCCCGTCCCCATTTAGTTCGACCCTTCAGGACTCCCAGCCTTTCCTCATTATCTTAAACTCCTGGTTGAAAATTAACACTGTGTTTACAGTAATGCCAGGAGTGTGGGTAGAAGCCATAAATACTTTTATTTGGTGGCAAAATAATTTTTTTTTTCAATTGGTATGAAATTGTGTTTCAGAGTGTTTTATTAAAAAAAAAAAAAGAAGCCTAAGCCGTGTATTACACTGTGATAAAACACGACACACTCGCCTGCGGCTCATGTTTTCTACATTTCTCGATTGTTCTCAAATGTCTGGAGTGTTTTATCACAGTGTAAACATGGCTTAGGCTTCTTCATTTGCTTTATGATATAGAGGTAATGTGGCAAAAAACAATAAAACACGCTTTTTCTTTGTTTTATACTGTGATAAAACATGGGGTTTTGACCAATCAGAGCATGCACAGGGTCCTATCTATATTATAAAGTTCCTTAAATGGTGTTGGGATGCCCTTAGACCACCTTACACAAAAGCTGCCTTTCAACCCTCTGCATACAGGTTACAATATAGCATTGAAAAGCATGTAGTAGGTCTGGGTAATTTGGATGCTTCATCTTCAAAAACTAGCAGCCTCATATCATTTCTGGTATTCATGCAATTTAATTTAGATGTATATATTTGCATGGTGAGTGGCCTTAATTGTCAATGTGTTCAAGATCTAACAGCCTGACTTCAACACCTGCCTGTGGTCTCTGTATAGTGTACTTTGACAAGATAGTTCACTCTCATAACACTTCTCTTCATGCAGTAGTATACATTACTTACAATGTGTTATGAATCATTATATTAATTTAAATTGTCCCAGCATACTGTCACAGATTGTTGGGGTAACCTGGCAAGATGCTGGCAAGTATAAACCTGTGATAGATTGGTGTCCCATTCAGGGATAGTCCTGGCCTCTACTTGTGACAGGAATCGGACAAAGTGTTGGGACGTACAAGAAACTACATGTACGCTCAAAAGTTATGTAAATCCACCAGCCCTAGGCTATCAGACACAACTTTCCCAGCGCACTGTTGTACATGTGCTCCTACAACTAATTTCAAATTTTTCAAGGAATATGCGTATTTTTATTGATCCCTAAAATGAAGGATGCAATTTTTGCATAAATCAAATGTTTGGTGGGTTAGCCCTATGTACAAGAAAATGTAAACTAAACTTGTGATCTTATTTAATTCAAATTGGGTAGTTTTAATCTTCATTTTTGTTCTCTTTTCAAGGGTACTTAGGGGGACATGATGTTACCTCTAAGTCTTGTGCACAAACCCTAAACTATGAAGAGGCTGTAGAAACCATCCAGAGTAGAATGCAAGATGCAAGTTTATCAGAGGGAACTTCTACCAGGGAGAGCAGAGAAAAGATGACAGATGATATGGTGGATGCAGGAGTGAAGCAGAATGCGGGCAGTCAGGTAAATGCTCGGCTTTCAACCAGTGTTCGAGAGTTACCATACCTTGTGCTCAGTCGAATCTGCTTGATGCTGAATGTCAAAAGAGTGACTTATGATGACTTTCGGATGCTCGCAGAGAAGGTTGGTCTTGACAAAATTCAGACAAACTTTATAGCGCAGAGGGAAAACCCTACTGAGGAAATTCTGAAAACGTGGTCAAAGCAACTTGAGGCTACAGTTGGGAAACTGATTGAAATCTTGAAGGAGAAGGATCTTGAGAGAATGGATGTAGTTAA